TTATAACTCTTGAAGGATTGAACGAGAGCACGAATGGTTTTCAGATTCGTAATCAGCATCTTTAAATTAGCAAAGTGGGGTACATTGCTTTGAAATCCCAGGGAAACACCTGGGGACCTTCCCTCGTGAGATGTAACTATACTCCAGAGGTGCATCATTGAATCGATTCGAAGTTTTTGTGCTACCGAGGAAATTTTTTATAAGAACATCAACACTGCCTCTTTTGCTTCCCGGAAACTTACGCGTATGCACAGACAATGAATTCAATGTATCATTTAGAGATTTGATTGGTTGTTTAAGGATCGATTGATATTCTATGGTTTCGTGAAATGAAAGAGTTTGAACAGGTTACTCTACACTACATGATTAGCAAAGTAAAACAAAGTCGAATCTAAAAAAACTTCGCTCCACCACTTTTTTTCACATCAATGGCATACCAACGCATCAGTTTTTTGAAATCCTTATACTACCGTACCTTACAATATAGGGGTTTGCTTTTATTATTTAAGCGCTCATGATAACTGTTTTCTAACATACTGAAAAACATTATTGCACCCATCCACCTATGTGTGCACTGTAACGCTATGAGGACATACAAAAAGAAAAATTACAAGAATATAAATACAAAACAAAAAAGATTACTATTATGTACAGTAGTGTAAGATCATATGTGTTTATAAAACATACGTTAAAGCAAAGCATATAAATAGAAAGATACTTTCTATACGAAAATAAAGAAAAACAGCAGATGAGAAAAATAAAACATTTAGTCACAATCGTAAAATGCACATTTTCCACTTCTTGTTCGAATACCGTCTCGCATCGGTGGATTTTGAGTGTTAACAGGTGATGAATGATCATCAACTTCCATATCATCATCCTGTCCTACAAGCAAGCATATAAAAACGTTGGATTCTATGCAAAAGATCATTGAACTCAATCATTTTACCTTCAGTTGTTTGTTTCGTAGTAACTTCAAGCAATTTTCGTTGATAGATAGCACGAGTAAAACTTGTCACTGGTCCAACAGGAATATCATGCATTTTTAAACCATTGCGTAATTCTATATCGTTTAATTGTGGTACATTGACTTCTTTCTCTATTGCCTACAAAAAGACAAATGTCATACGAGTTATAAATTATTACTGAAAAAACAGAGATACTGACTTGTACATGTAACCGTAAAATGATTGCTAAAGTATCTTTTGAAGCATATGGACTGATATCATAGCCAGTAGATTTTAATTTTTGTTGTAACTCTTTTTTTGTTGTCATTTTCCCTTCTGGTTAGTAAAAATAAATAACAGATCTAAATAAGAAGGAAAAGAGTCGACTTCATTCGCAATGTTTTAAGAGAACAACATTCTCTGGTCGTATCTATGGTACGAATAAAAGATGGCATCATTTTGACAAGCAAGCAGTTCCCAAAAAAGTTACTATCTAAAAACCAGGAAAGAACAGGTTTGGAAGAGTCTCTATCATAGATCACATTTTAACTTAGGAAACTTACGTTTCTTACAATTGTAATGGCAAATAAAAATATCATTGGATTACTTTTAAAATTCTCTACAAACTGAGCTTTACAGCTAGCTATTCAACAGTTTATCAATCAGAAACTATTCGCGAATCATTCAGTCATGCTGAAGTTAGTTAACAGAGAATTTGACTAAAACAAACACAGACAGCAGCGATTCATCAACATCAGAGTTTTGTATAGGGAATGATCATTGTAGTCTAATTATCAGTCTTCTCAACATCTTTGCCATAAATGGTAGTTAGCCGATATTTGTTTATGGTGGTATAGACGATGTAATAGAATATATATGATATCATGCTATCTTAAATTTATATGATAGGCTATCAAGATATTAGGTCGTTCGCATAATACAAACAAAATGAAAAACAGA